TGTAACTACTATTTGTTTTATTATTGAGCAGTCCATCATCTTGACCAGCCTTGTACAAAAATGGCATATAAATGTAGTATAATATGAATATGCACATGAACATTACTAATATTTTTCTTTAAAAGGTCATCTATGTACTGCCAAAACTACAGCAAGAATAAATAAGCCCCACTGATTATGCACATAGTTCTTTGTGCCCTATGAATTTGTGACCAGTGAAATGCTTGTACATACAAACACAACATTTATAACTACTATGCTATTGTACTGTTTAAATACTTTCCATAGGGGCTTAATACCAACCCAGAGAAGAACTGTTTGGGCTCAGGACTTCCAGTCAACATTTGCTAAAGAGGTCAACAATAGCCTCCCCACTTTATTAAGTTGTCTTTTTTGGCTGTTGTATGTTTAATTACATACAATTCTGAATACAAATGCATATAAAAGCAAACAAAAAAATCAAACTCTGTTAGAATTGTTTTTTAAAGGGCATATGTATAGGGTTCGAATAAGTAAAAGGCAATGAACTCTTATATAGCAGTACCTCGCTAGACGATGACTCTGCTGTATGAGAAATCTGCAGGACGGTGACTTTTTTGCGATCACTATAGCGATCGCAAAACAATGTTTCCTGCGGGGAATTTTCACTTGACAACGATTAGGTCCGTACTTCGAGAACCGTTTGTTCACAAGACAACAGTGGGGAATTTTCATTTGACGACGATTAGGTCCGTGCTTCGAGAACCGTTTGTTCACAAGACAACAATGTTTTCTGTCTCCGCAAATTGGCTGCCCTGTGTTTTCCGGACCGGTGACTTTTTTGCGATCACTATAGCAATCGCAAAACAATGTTTCCTGTGGGGAATTTTCATTTGACGACGATTAGGTCCGTGCTTCGAGAACCGTTTGTTCACAAGACAACAATGTTTTCCGTCTCCGCAAAATGGCTGCCCTGTGTTTTCCGGACCCATGCTTCGCAGGGCAGCTATTTTAACAGCTGATCGGCGCTCGGAAAATGGCTTCCCTTATGGGTGATCTTCGCTGGATGACAAGGTTTCAATGCATTCCAATGGGGAAACTGTTTTAGCTGGACAATGTTTTCGCTTAACAGCGATTTCAGGGGAACAGATTAACGTCGTGGTGTGGGGCACCACTGTAGTACAACTAATCAGAAGTAGCTTCTATTGTGTTCAGTGCAGAAAGGGTGCACAGCATCATAGCTTAACATCTAATTGTTAGCCCCAATTAGAGTAGATCCATCATATTTGTTCCTAAATTATAAGTAAACATTTACATGCATCCCAGTGATTCAGTAAGTGTACTCTGTTTGGCATCAGCAGATGGATTTAGACCTAAAAGTATTTTGGCAAATTCCAGAATCTAAATTAGCATAACTCCCAGGCCAACCAAAATGTTATAAAACATGTGCAAATTTTCAGGATTTCCAGATCGCTCCCATTAAACAAGATCATACACAGTAGCCAAAAGAGAGGGAGACAGATGTGGTGGAATTTACAAGGTCTGAATCTGAAAATGTGCAAATGAGGCTGTCACAGATAGTGTGATTGTTGATTCCCAATTTTTCAAAATGGAAAATTCAGCTGAAAACTCAGGATTATTTCCATCCTGGGTAAAGCAAACTGACTCATTTATGAACAGAGAACATTTAGAGACAAAAGGAGTTTCAAAAATGTAGAGGTTTTAAATACTGGACTAGCTTTAAGGCTAGATGACTGAAGAAGTGGACTTGTCCATGAAAGCTCACATTAAAATATAGCACTTATTCTTTAAGGTGCCACAACGTTATTGTCTTAATTTTTTTCATTATTCATTTATTTTTGCCTGACATATGGAGATACAGTCTTTCACACAGCTAGAACCAAGTTATGTAGGGCTTAACTGTGAACTGGGCCTGGAAAAAGAACTAATTCCAGAGTCATACTGTTGTAAAACAGACAGGCAATAGAAGGGCTGTTATACGGATTCTTCAGCTAGGAAAAGGCAGCCAATGAACTATTATTTTTTATGTAGTACCTGACATAACCACGTTTTTTTTCAGGTTGGGTGTAGATACTACTGAGATACAGAGATATAAATCCATCTTAACTTTTACATGTGTGAGTCACACAGATTGCCAAAATATTATGAGCAAAGATATGGTGACTCATTTACAAATTCAACAGGTGAAAAAATTACATGTGTGTAATGTTTCACAGCAGAGATAGGTGTTGGCGATTGAACTGGATTCTTCCTTTATTCCTTCACATTCTTGCAACAGTTTCAGAATGTGTGGATAGTAAACTTCTTTACTGTGTTTTACTAATCAATGTAGAAGCTTATGAGTTTGATTTTATCACATAAGGCTGATTAGAAGCAATATGCTTATATAACGTCATTTTGTTGCATAGGATTGCACAGCAAAACTGCAACCTTAGCCATCTTGGCTGGGGAATTTTGTGCTCGTAGTTCAAAAAATAGTTTTAAAATGTTCCATAACCTAGATTCCTATTTGAAATTATGTAGGCTATTTTCTATTTTAAGATGTGGTTTATGGAAGTTGAGAAGAATGTAGTTACACTTTGGTAAAAATCCTGTTCCTCAGAGTAGTAAGCCACAACTAGAAGACGCCTCTTGAATCAATGGAGCTAATGGAAAAGTTGACTCATCAAATTCCCACTGATTAAATAAGTTTACTCTAGTTGCGATTCATTATGCTAAGCAACAGGATTTCTGCCTTTATTTATCTGGCTTTTTTTGTTTTTCGAACACCAATTGACAAAAACTTTGGTCAAAACAATTTCAACATTTTTCATGAAGTTTGATTTTGGCTGCTTACACTAAATTGATTCTTTATATTGGGCAAACTTGGTTTTTGTTTTGTTTTGTTTTTGGGTGGTGGTAAGGTTAGATTGGGTTGAGTAACCTCGAGAAATCCAAGAGCTGTACAAGCTCATCCTTGGAAGGGCAGCACCTACTCCCAAGTTCCTTGTGCCGATGCTCTTCTCATCCGAACAGAGTGGTTCAATGGAAAATCTGCCTTGTATACTCTAGTTGCTAAAAGCTTTTCCAAAGAACTAATAATTTGGGGGCATGTGGGGAGAAGGGTATCTCAAAACATGGCAAAATCTATCCCATATTACTTAGAAAACCCAAGGGGAATTTAGAAGCCAAGAGACTACATTTGGGCTCCTGCAAGTTACCCACTCTAGGATTGTATGAGGGCTATAGCAGTCACAGTACAGTATATAAACTCTGCATGAACCATAGTCATTCATTGGGAGTATAATCTTATATTGACGTTTCCATAATCATAATGCTTAGATAAATGCTTAGATAAGTACAAATTGTCATAAATTGTTATCACTGACTTTTTTGCCATTACATTGTAAAAAGAAGGATGCCTGTTTTCCCCATCTGTAAAATAGCAATTACAGCACAACAATCTAGTGCTATTATGCAGGCATTAATTAGATATCCAGACTCCTACATGTGTCCAAACCTTACTTAAGGCTAGCTAGGAAGAGATATGTAGACCTTTGAAGAAACTAGTTATAACTACGCCATTACTTTTAGTGAATTGGTTTTTTTTCAATAACAAAGATATTGCTATAATATATTATGGCTGAAATCTTGTTGCTCAGCACAGTAAGTCACAATGAGAGTAGGCCTATTAAATCAATGGAATTTACAGAGGAACTGAGTGATTCAGTGATTTGCCACAGATTCAGTGTTCCTACTCTAGTTGTGACTTACTATTTTATTTCTTTGTTTTATTTATAGGCTGCCTGTCTCCCTATAAAGGGATCTAAGGCAGTCCACAATAATAAAAGAATAGAATGAAATATGTAATAAGTTAAACACTTAAAAAACAATTAAACTATACACTAATTAAAAAGAACTGAATAACTGAAAGCAGGTAAAATTTAAAACTATCTTAACTTAAAAGTGATTAATTACTCTACATTAAACAACAGGATTTGACCCTATGATTACGACTCAAGAACAACAATGTCAGTCCTTTTATGAGATAATTATAAATTTCAATTATTGTTGTAGTTATAAAAATATGGTCTCAGTAAATGGTGGAGAGAAAACAGCACATAGTTCAATATTGTCTCCTGCTCTGTTTATTGTGGGTATTAAAGAACAATGAGGTGGGTGGGAAGGGAGTGCTTTATTTTTGTTACAGGCTTGCAGCTACTAAATTTTAAAAAAATTAATTTTAGATACTTTCAAAAAAGTTGTAAGCAACTAGTTATTCTTTTTTAAAATGCCATAAATATATTTTGGGGGTGCTGGGATTGTAACTGTCATGGATTACTTTTTAGATATAACTTTCGAAGTTCTGGTGCACAGTGGTACTACAGATAGAAAAGATTTGCCAAAAGCCCCTCGTGGAAAATGCTTTAAGCATTTAGCTGAACTGAGTTAAACCTGAGTTTATAAGCCTCCTTTCATTCACAAGGGGTCCTAGACTGGTTCCCATAGAATTAAAAACAAATAAAAGTATAAGTTCTAAAATAGATAGTTCATAAGATAAGAGTCATGAGAGCTATTCAACCAGCATACAAACAACAAATCAAACTAAAGAAACATTCAGTGGATTCTTTAACGATCCAAATGGCACAAATAACTGACTCAACTAAGTCAAGCATCCTCTAGCTAACAGTGTTCCATCTATTGGAAAGAAAGGGCAATTTTAAAAAATCTCATAAACAAAAGAGCAAAAAGAAATCAAACCACAGCCCAATCCTAGGCATGTCCCACTTTGTGAAATGGGTTTACTTCCAGTTAAGTATGCACAGCAAAAAAACCCAAAATCATCCAAATTATTTCTATCAGCAAAAGATATCAACATGACTGATTAGGAAAGGCTTGCAAATTAAGCTTGTCTCTTGGCTAAACTCTGGCTGACAGGCCATATCTCTCCTTTCTTTTCCAAAGGTAAACAACAGTCAAAGCAAACAAACAAGAGGTGTAGATGATCTCCAACTTTTCACCTGATGCCATTTCCACCGATGGTCTCCCTCCCTCCGGTCTCCTGCTGTCTGTTTGATCGCTGCCATTCCTGGAAGCCATGCTGGAGTGAGAGAACAGTATGTATTGCTCTGGAAAGATCTGTAACAGACAAACGAATAATCTATTTCAGAGGTTCATAAGCCTCACCCAGTCAAGTGTCCTCTCAGATTTTTCTCTGTGCCAGCTGATCTCTGCTGCTTCCTTTTCCCCTAAGAGCTGGTTTAACTCCACCCCTTGGGTAACTTGATTCTGCTTTTCTTATTTACCTCAACCCATGGAGCCTTCTATGTTTGCATTCTGTCTTTCTCCTCAAAGACGTCTGGCTCTTTTTCCTCTTCAATCACTAACACCCCCATCATCCGAACTTTTGGCAACATTATGTCAATCCCATTATCCATGAAAAAACAAGGTTATCTTAAACTGTATTTTTCTTTTTCTGTCTTCTTCATTCTTTATATACAGTTCAGATTTTTAATGTGCAACAAAACACATCAGCACGATTTGATTCTAATTATTAAACATCCTCGTGCAATGTCAGCCAGCTTTCAGATTGGAGAGTTTGCATATAAACAAACCAGTTCAAATTAAGTCAAGAATTCTCTGTTATTGTCATTCTGCCGTTAAATAGACTCTCAGAATTATCCATTTGGCGTTTCACATGAAACAAGCATTCAACACATGAAGGCACAGAACTTTTGAAAAGCAGATCAGCAACCTCAGATTCCTGAGAAAATGTGCAATGCTCTGTAAATATTGTAACATGTACAAGGTTTAAAAGATGATGATGATCTAAATCTTTCCATATGGTGGAAGACAAAATGAATTCTGTGTTAAAATGGCACACTGTAAAAGCATTACAGAATTCTAAAACAGAATTTCATAATAAAAAGACTTACACTGGGGATGGGTTACATTGTGGCCTTCCAGATGTTTGTGGTGGATAATTCCCATAAACCTTAGTTAGCCAGCATAGCTAATAGTGATATTTTGGAAGCAGCAGTCCAAATATTTCTAGAGAGTCACATGACCCAACCCCTGACTTAAAAGACTTGTTTCGCAAGACATCAGTCTTATTACATTTTAAATCTCAAGACAGGACATAGCTATATAGTTTTACATCACAAAGGCCTACACACATTTATTTCAATCAGCAATGTGTAATCAGGATCTGATGGTTGTTGTATGTTTTTGGGGCTATTTGGCCGTGTTCTGCGGGTTTTTCTTCCTAATGTTTTGCCACTCTCTGTGGCCGGCATCTTCAGAGGACAGGAGCTAGAACTCTATCTGTGTTCTGGTGTAGTATGTGGGATTGTTGAGTGGGATTGTCCTCTGTGTGCTCTGAAGATGCTCACCGGCCACAGAGATTGGTGAAACGTTAGGAAGAAAAACCTCCAGAACACGGCCAAACAGCCCGAAAAAACTACAACAATGTATAACATTGTTAGTCCTCGAGAAATGCTCATGTGTGCACAGAAATGTAATTGTAATTGTAACTGTAAATTGCTCATATTCCTGGTAAGCAATCAGGGATTTGAATCTGAGTTTGCCACAATCCAGTTTAACCTCTGTCCCTCTGTCCACAGCACAAAAAAGCCAAGGGCTGCTAAGTCGCTTGACAAACACTGGGGGTATAACAGAACCCCCAGCTTCCTCATGTCTCTTTTGCCAACTGAGCCTGCAATCCTCTTCTCACTTACATGCTATATGCCCTACCAAATTCATTCAGACATTTCTGAGCAGGCCTATTTAGGACTGCTGTGCTAGGATACAAAAGGTCCATGAAAAATGAACTCACAAGGGGAAGTAACATTAGATACGTACTTAGATTAATAACATCACAATTCAAAGCAAAATGGCAATCCATCTATCAATGTTTTAAATTATATAGGAGTTTTGTGTGATTCCCCCTGAAATGTCTGGAATTGTATCTTTAATGGTAATTTCAGAATTCAATTACTTGCTGCTGAAAAGGGTGCTGTTCACAGCTCAACATTAAATTGCATGCTCTGATACAAACTGATTCTGCTCACATAGCTGGCTCCCCACTGATGCTGATCAAATCTGCGAGATGAGCTCATTTTGCCTGCCTCAAGGCAAGTTCATTTGGGGGATCAGAGCAACATAGACCGAGCCAGTCATCGAAGTCAAGTCCTGTCAGTAAGAGATGACAAACTCTTCAGAGCAAGGAACAGAAATGGTATATTCCTTTCCAGAGTAACCTTCACGAGGGGCTAAAGGAGTGAAAGAGAAGTCATAGGACACTTTTTAAGATTAACAAGATTTATTACAGCGTAAGTGTTTGTCAACACACAGTGTACACAAATTTCAGGATGGGATGTTGACAATGACTTCTGAATGTAGTTTGTACTCTTGCAGAAAAACAAAAAAAATTACAGTACAGTGGTGCCTCACTTTACGATTGCCCCGCATTACGACGAAACCGCATTATGATGATCTTTTTGCGATTGCAATTGCGATCACAAAACGATGGTCTAAATGGGTTTTTTCTGCTTTGCGATGATTGGTTCCCTGCTTCGGGACCCGATTCTTCACAAAACGACGTTTTTTAAGCAGCTGACCAGCGGTTTCAAAATGGCTTCTGGGTAAACAAAATGGCTCCCCACTGTTTTCTGGGATGGATTCCTCGCAAGACAGGCAGCGAAAATGGCTGCGCTATGGAGGATCTTCGCTGGATGGTGAGTTTTGACCCCCTTGGAACGCATTGAAGGGGTTTCAATGCGTTTCAATGGGGTTTTTTTTGCATTAAGATGTTTTCGCTTAACGGCGATTTTCCTGGAACGGATTATTGTCGTTAAGCGAGGCACCACTGTATTTTGATCTATTAAAGACCAACATGTTTTACTTGGCATAAACCTTTATGATGGCACCCACGTCTTCATATTATTATTATTATTATTATTATTATTATTATTATTATTATTATTATTATTATTATTACATCATCATCATCATCATCATCATCATCATCATCATCATCATCATCATCATCATCATCATCATTTTTTAGGACTGGTTTTACACAACAATTCAAGTTTAGATCTGACTCATGCAAGGGCTTCAGCATCAACGGCTTTCCAAATTTGTCAATGAAGACACTGAAAAGAGTACTACCATTTTAGATTTTTATTTGACAAACAAGTGCAGTTCCTCACAGGTATGACAGGAGCATAAAATTCAGGCCCCAATTCCTACACATCCAATGAAACTGATTATTGCAAAATATTGAAAAAAAACCTAACCCTGTAGTTTCTGATATGATCTATAAAACTCTTATTTCCAAATACAAAGGCATGCTTACCTCACCACCCAACCTTACTCAGATAATAACTTTTGCAAACTCTCTCCTTCCATATGAATTGGCCTGTACAGTATATCTTTTATACTGTAACAGGACAAGCATAACCAAAGTTGCTCAGTATAGTTTATGTTTCCCACCTACCCACCATGCCTAATAGATCATGCTGACAAATACAAACATTAGTTTCCATGTGACAATTCAGGCAACATGCAAATGGGAATTAATTAATTGAAAAACTTGTCTTTCACTGTGTATTTTTATAACAATGAATGTAGTGTTCAAAGCAATTAATCTCCAATGGGCAGTTTATTCAATTGAGCCAATATAAAAAATCACTGTCATGAAGCAAGAAACTTGATTTCAGGAAGAGCCCCCCCTTTTTTTAGTAAACTGGAACAGCAACAAAGCTGGTACAAGAGGGAGGGAGGAAGCTAATTACAATGGATCCCACTGACTGCATAATGGGATTTTCTAACAGCTTATCCCTCTGATGTTCATGTGGCTGTAAATGACAATGCTAGGGGAGAAATAAAATATACAGGGTGATTGCAGTGAGGAAAATAGGATAGCCATATGTTCCTTTTATTATCTACAAATTGCAGAATTTGCAGAAAGTAATTTTCACGTTTTCCACATATTGCAACCTAAATCCAATTTCATACTAGGAGACATCCACCAATATTGGAGCACTTTCTTCTTCTTTTCCTAAGTTTCTCAGTACTTGACAGCATATTCTTGAACTGGAGGTGCCAAGGCAAGTAGCATTTACTCATCTCCTAATGCTATTAGATGAGACAGTCCTGTCAGCACAACGACCAGACCAGATGGGCAGGATACAAAAAAACAAAAAAAACAAACAAATAAATAAATAAATAAATATCCTGCCCTGCATCCTTTCCCTGTTATCCCAGAACATCTGTAGCCAAAATACATCCACTGTTATTCTAATTAAAACTTGTTCTTAACCAGGTTAACTGAAGTTTTTACTTAGCATCACAGTACTTATCGAAGAACAGATCCTTCAATGTGTTTATTTATATGATGTCTTATATTAAAAGATTTGTACCCAAGCAAACATCAAGAGGGACAGAATGTTACTAAAATCCCATTATGTAGTTGGCGTGATCCATTGTAATCAAAAGGGTGGGGAGCAGACAATAAAAGGAATTAAAATTATGATTACTGGGCTGGGGCACCTCCCTTATGAGGAAAGGCTACAGCGTTTGGGGCTCTTTAGTCAAAAGATGCCTGTGGGGAGACATGGTTGAGACATATAAAATTATTTAGGGAATAAATAAAGTGGATAGAGGGAAACTATTGTCCCTCTCACGCCATACTAGAACCAGGGACATCCACTCAAATTGAGTGTTGGGAGAGTGAGAACAGACAAAAAATATTTCTTTACCCAGTGTGTTGTTAGTCTGTGGAACTCCATGTCACAGGATGTGGTGATCGCATCTGGCCTAGATGCCTTTAAAAGGGGATTGGACAGATTCCTAGATGAAAAGTCCATCACAGGTTGCAGGCCATGATGGGGATGTATAAGCTCCAGGCTTAAAAGGAAGGTACCTCAAAATGCCAGATGCAGGGGAGGGGTATCAGGAGACAGGTATCTAGTTGTCTTGTGTGCTCCCAAACGCAAAGATGTGGCTTTCCCCTCATCTCCACAAAATGTACTGCTCTCATAATAAACCTAATAATTAGCACTCCAAAATTATTTTCTTTCTTTCTTTCTTTCTTTCTTTCTTTCTTTCTTTCTTTCTTTCTTTCTTTCTTT